AAAATTGACTTAAAAAGAGAAAAATCAAGAATTTCAAGATTAATATGTGTATTTTATACTTTACCTAACATACTAACCCTAAAACTAGAGTAAGATACCGAATAGACGAATTGTATATGCTTTCCTCTCTCTCATTCTCATCTTCAAGATTTTCATAATTAAAATCGTTACTTTTTTGAACTAGTTTAACATTCAAACATGTATATTTTTTATAGATATTTCATATATATTTTTTTATAAATTTTAATAAACTTTTAATTTTTTCATATATATAAATTCCTCAAAATTATTTATTTTATAAAATACTATAACCCAAGTACTCCCCCGCCTAAGCCGAGTAGTCGCTATTCCCCGGTCGACCGAACGAGTATCGAATAGTGAGTTCCGCAAGATTGATATATATATATATATCTATATATATATATATATATATATATATATATATATATATATATATATATATATATATTATCTTTCCACAAAGTTTATTAAACAAAAAGCTATTAATTTAATTTTTTTCTCAAACACGTATCAGTTTTAAAGGTTATTTTAGTTATTTAATTTAGGGATATATACACTAAAGTCCTATTATTTTCATCGATTTGACAAGAAAGTCTTAAACTTTATTTTTGTGAAAGTAAAGTTCTAACTACCGACAGTTTTTAACATTTTTACCATTTTTTTCCGGTTAGCCAGTAATTAGGACTTTTTTTGTCAAAATAATAAAGTTTAAGACTTTTTTGTCAAATCGTGAATTAGGACTTTACTGTCAAAAAAATAAAGTTTAAGACTTTCTTGTCAAATCGTTAAAAATATTGGGACTTTAGTGTATATATCCCTTTTTTGGTTAGAAATTTAATGGTATGATAGTCTTTAAGCATAAGAGTTATTGAAATCTGCTCTAGTCAGCTAGATCCTATTGAAATCCTTAACGTTTGCTTCTTGTTAAATAATTTTTTTAATCTCAACAAACCGATATTGAAAAAAATGGAGATAATCAAGAAAGAAAGAAAGAACTACGGCTGTGTTGGTTTTTTGCAATCCTAAAAATGGAGAACTAAGAAACAAGACAAAACAAAATTGTCATTCTTAGCCCTTCTCCACATTCACACCCTTTTTACTAGGCATGTGTTGTTTGTGTTTATATAATTTTTTCCCGCTTTTCAGTTCAAGATTTTGTGGCGAAGCAAGAAGAAAGTTTTACAAGTCTTTTCACCATTTCTTGCTCTCTCTTTTGCATTTGTTTCTCTGATCGTGATTATATCAGGGTAAAGATGGATGGTGTGACAACCCGATATTTCAAATTCATATAATGTTCAAAGTCAAATGTTAAATCTATTTTGGAAATCAATAAAAACAGCGTCAAAAATGAAGTATTCTAAAGTCTCGATTGGGTTGCATAAAATGTTAGATATACGGTCAAGGTTTCCAAATATATAAAGAACACTCAAAACAGAGTTATAACGAAGAAGTTATGACTAATCGAAGATTCACGACAAAACCGTAAAACACTGCCAAGTGTAAAAAGTGAAATTTCAATAAAATACTTTTTAGCCTTAGGCATGTAAACGAAAGTCGTAAATTATGTTAAATCATAAACGTGCATAAAAAGAACGCACAAATCTGACTTCGTATGAGGAAGTTATGATTTTTCTAAGTTTCAGATATAACAGTAGACCGCTAAAAACTCGAGATAGAGATCGAGCGATTTTTAGCCGACGCAACCTAAACGGGAATTGAAGGTCTCAACGATAGTAGTACAACGGTAAAAAGACAGACGAAAACGGACGTCAGATGTAAAAGATATGAATTTTTAATGGATTTTTCTTGTCCCGGCCTACTAAAAATATAATATTAAAAAATTAAGTCAAAATTAGCCGACGGAGTCTAAACGAAAGTTGTAGACCACAATCTCACCTACGCGTGGATATAAAGAACGTCGAAATCGGAGCTCTTATGCGAGAGATATGAATTTCTGAAGTTCGGGGTACGCACACCAACCTTATCCGAAGACTCACGACGTGAGCAAGAGACTCACGACGTGAGTCTATGACCGATGTGTGCCAGAGCTAGACCACCAGTCGTCGCGTCTACGGGCCAAACTCATGACGTGAGCCGTCCCATGCTCACGACGTAAGTCCCGAAAGTTCACCCTATAAATAAGATGCGAGGGTTCCGACTTTCCTTGCTCATTTCACTCTTCTCTCTTACTTCTACTCTCCGGTTAGCACCCCGAGACGACCCCGACACCCCGGTTACGTACCCGAGTCCCGACGAAGGTCCGAAGCTCCGAGATTCCCGAGAAATTCACCACTTTCCGGTCGAAGTGCCGCCTGGGAAAACCGCGTTTTCTTCAAATCACCACACTTTTCACGTGAGTTCATACCCCTACATTTTCACGTCTTTTTCATGTTTTAGGGGGGAGGGGGAATACAAGTGAAACACGAGATAAACTCACACTTAAAATACACGTCGTTAGATATGTTTTCAAATACTTTATCTAGATTTTGTTTATGAATGTTAAACAACATTAATACCAACGTTACACTTCACATGCAAAGTTGATATTACACCAAGTTTTTATCATCAAATGGAACACACTTTCGAAAAACTATAATGGGTATAGTTGCGAGTTATTCATTGCATCTTTACATAAACACTGTAAAAGGAAATACTTTCACATGAACTTTTCGTTCCGTAAATCTTTTGATACTATGTTTTTGTGAGACACTCATCTTTAACGTACTTTCGAGTATGCATTTCAAGTCCTGTATTATAAACCATAATCTCTTGGAGGGAGAGCGTGATACTTGTGGATAGATCTATACGGGATTGACAATGCCGCACCTAAACTGTTAGCTACAGTTAGACCGGCAGGTCTGGGGTGACAAATATCATAACACTGCAATGCCTGAAGAACGTTGTTACAGGCAGTCTGGGTCAATAACATGGTTATAAAACTCACATGGTGTATCAAAATATCTTCGATTTACGAGACCCTTAAATGCATTCAGTAATTACAATTATATATACATAAAAATCCACTTTCACCATTTTAGCATGAAAGATACTATAATATTTCAGTCTTTGGAACTTTTTCAAACTACCACACATACATGGAAAATATTGGATTTTCTGGAAAACACGTTCAGTTATTTTTACCAAAAGACATACAACTTTCAGAACAAAAACGCTTATGAACTCACCAACTTAATTGTTGACACTTTTTCAAAACTACTTGTATTTCTCAGGGAATCAGTAATACAGGTAACCATCAGCTTTTGGAGAAGGAACGCTAAGGCGTCCGATATCAAAAATTTTAAATCATCATATTTGTAATATTCTTTTGAAACATGTATTATATGCAACAATGTAACTTTTTATTATATTTATGATGGTTGTGTTTACTTTCTTTACGAATATTCAACTGTTATGATACTACGTGAAGTCATCCGCCCCCGAATGTTTCCGCCATTCTGGTTTGGGGGTGTGACAGATGGTAAGAAAAAAACAGTGGTGTTGTGACAAAAATCACAATTAAAAGTTTTTGGGCTATAAAAATACACCAAAGTCCAAATATTTTCAACGATTTGACAAAAAAGTTATAAACTTTATTATTATTTTTACAGTAAAGTCCTAATTCACGATTTGACAAAAAAGTCTTACGCTTTATTATTTTGACAAAAAAGTCCTAATTACCGGCTAACCGGAAAAAAATGTTAAAAGTGTCAAAAAAATGCCGGTAGTAAGGACTATACTGTCAAAAAATAAAGTTTATGACTTTCTTGTCAAATCGATGAAAATATTGAGACTTTAGTGTATATATCCCTTTAATTTACTTTCATATTTTTTTATAAAACAATAATATTTATAAAATTTAAAAGTATTTAAAATAATAATAAATAAAATCATATTACAATACATAAAATTAAAATAAATACTATTAAATCTAAAGTAAAATTAACTGAATTTTAAAGATTAAATATAACTAAGGATGTAAATGAAACATAATTAAATAAATATAAAATTAAAGAAACCATTTAGTAATATAAAAATAGTTGATATTATTGATCCGTAAAACAGTTGATTTCAAAATTTTAATGTCAATAAACATATTTTATAAGGTAGATGTGTTTTATATTTGACATTCTATAGGAATACTTATCTTCAAAGTGTCAAATGACTCAAATAGGTTAGGTTAAAAGAAGGCTTATATTATATGTATCCATAATTGTTGGGTGTCTCTTAGTAGGGATGATCTTAGTAGGGATGAGTGTGAGACGGAACCGATACCGACCCGTACCGTTCCTGATTTTTCGAAAACCGAATTTCATCGAAAGTCAATCCCGAGTACCGAACCGAATTAACATCACCGGTATCGGTACCGGGAATGATACCGGTTTTCGGTACTAGTACCGGTACCGGTGGTACTGAATCCCGAATTTCATGTATTTGGAGTACCGAATACCGTCCCATATTTTTAAATTCGGTACGGTTCGGTACCGGTTCCGGTACAGGATCGGGATTTGGGACAAACGACTCATCCCTATCTCTTAGTGGGGTGAATATGTGTGTTTGATTTTGTATGGGATTAGCAACACTCTAAAAGAATTATCAAAAGTTAAATTAATTCATAAACCTCCTAAATTGATTTATTTAATTAAATAAAATTTTCAGTGAAACAGTATATTTTTACTTTTTACAATAATAAGTAACACATTAATAATTTAATAAATAAACAAAAATGATAATAATATAAGCAATGTGTAACCTTTTAACAGGAAACCTTTAACGTTATCAACAAAAACAACTTTTTGTTGTTAGATGTTACGAGACAGAAAAAAAATCCAACTAGTTTTCTTTCATATTTTGATATAAAGTTTTTTACATTTAGACAGTAAAATTACAACATGAAAGTTAACAAAGAGTTTCAACCAGAATTTAGATTTTAGAATACTACAAGTGCAACAATAGAACATACTGTACCAAAATACATAATTCTATTGATCAGAATTTGCAAGTCGCCGTTCTGAAGAAATGTTAGTGTCGTTATCCTTTAATTTGATAGAAATTGTACCAACGGGCTTCTTATAGGTGTACCAATGAGAAATCAATAGAAAAGCTCCAAAATTTATCACACTCATAATCGCTAAAAGCCAGAAGAAATTTTGTAGTTGACCACGATTCAGATTATCTGGTATCCACCCAGGCTTACCCCCTTTAGTACTAATATTTGTTACAATCGTCACAAGCAAAGAGCTTAAATAACTTCCCAAAGCCACAGTTGTCAGCGATAGAGCTGAACACAAACTTCTCATCGAGTCTGGAGCTTGTTGGTAAAAGAACTCCAATTGTCCAATAAAGGTAAACACTTCTGCACAACCAATCAAGAAATATTGTGGTACTTGCCAAAAAATTGTCATGGGCATATGCTCGTAATCATAATAGTTGTTCCTTTTGACAATCCCTAGCCTGACCACTTCCAAAGTCCCTGCAGCTAGCATCGCGAAAATCGAGATCACTAGGCCTGTTCCCATTCTTTGAAGTTGGGTGAGGCCTGACTTGTTGCCGGTATATTTTCTGGCAACAGGTACTATAATTCGGTCATAAACCGGGACCCAAAAAATGACACTTAGGGTGTCGAAAATGCTTAAGGACGCTGGTGGGATTTTGAACTTGTTGATGTTTATATCCATAAAGGAGCCTTGTAACACAAATAGGTTGCCCATCTGACCATAAACTGTACTAAAAACAATCCCCGTAGCCCATATAGGGAGCAAATTAATGATTGCTTTAAATTCCTCCACTTGGGTCACAGTGCAAAGCCTCCATGGATCAACGGATTCTTTTAGGTGATCCGATTCTAACTGCATCGCCGCCTTGTCCAAGAAACTGTAATTCGAAAGTTAATCAGTTTTAAATTTTCGTTCATAACCTCATATTTATTATGTGGATCCCGATTACCTGAACTTTTTGGTGTGGTCAAGCTTGCGACTTCCCACTATAGCAGAGTCGTTGTCAGCGATCTCATACAAGGTGGACCTATCGGTAGGCAATGGAAGTTGGCGTTTGTTCCAAGAAGCAACAATGACCTGACAAATGCGAGTCAATGGGCTTCCACTAGGTTTCTGATTCCGATACAAACGAGTTCCAGAGAAAAACGAGCCAACGGCAATCGCCATAGCCACAGCCGGAATCCCAAACCCCCATCCCCAACCAACGTTATCTTGGATCCAAACAAGAACCGAAGACGCGATTAACGCACCAATATTGATTGTAAAGTAGAACCAGTTAAAGAAAGAGCTTTTGTGCTTCTTTTCCCGTTCATCGACATCATCAAACTGGTCCGCTCCATATGACGATACACACGGCTTGATCCCTCCGGTTCCCAAGGCCACCAAATAGAGTGCCAGAAAAGTTATTGCACTTTGAGTAGTTGTCGCATAACAATCCTCCTTCGATACACATGTTGGTCTTAGACCCGAAACTGACGCTGATATCGTCAATAATGTCATTCCCTATACGACATGACACAAAAACCCTGAATCTTTCTTTGGGATAGTTAATCTCACAGTATCTCACATGCAACATTGTCCCATAAGTGTTTATATATTTTGGAATCTCCTATTCTCTCCATAAGAGCTTTTTTAAAGAGACAATATTGGATTTCACATATATTACATGGTATCAAAGCAAACTTAGTCTGACCTCATTGAGTCTCTGACTCTAAAAGAGACTTTTAGTGTATCTGTACGGTCTAATAAATGTTTTTATACGGGGTTAATGTTGGACTACACATATATCTTAACAGAGATATATTCATATTTTAGTTTAGAAGAGCAAACTTACGATAACATAGATGACAGAGAAGATGGCAATGGTCCAGTATCGGCCTAGATAGGCATCGGCAACGAATGCACCAATCAATGGTGTAATATAACATGTTCCAGACCAATTCGAGAGGTTTTTAGAGGCTGTAGTGCTATGTTGATTAAGGTTATCCTTGAAATAAAGCACTAGATTCGTGCTCATTCCGTAATACGCCAATCTTTCACAACACTCGTTTCCTGCCAAAACACGAATAAATTTTAAGGTTTCAGTAATCGACATGGCAGTAGCAAATTAGAAGGTTTAAAGCATGAGTGTTGCAAGTGTACCAAGAATGTAAGGGCAAGCTTTCCATGTTCCTGTGGTGTTCTTGTTAGCAGGGTTGTTCTTATAATCAACTGTGCCATCTTTTGTGTATACATCTTCTTCTGTTTCAAATTTGCTGTAAACACCCGCTGTTTCTGTCATGATTACAGTTTCTTGACGAAATGGGTTTTTGATTTATAATAGAAAACATGACGGAGATACTTTTGTTTTATGTGTTTTTAAATAATTTATTAACTCAAGGCATTTGCTTTCTGATACAAACAGAACCAATGTTCTTCGAAAAAATTAAAACAATAAGCTTCGAAAGAATGATATTTTGAATGATTGCATGCATGTAGCTGTACGATACAAACAAAAGATAGTAAAATAATGATGATCCTTTTTTAAATATGCATTTCCATGATTTGCATAATTCATTTTTTTAATATACAATTTCAATAATCGTTTATAATATCGATCGTATTTAGTGTACATACGTATTTTACATCGACATTTTATCTATACAAATAAGAATAATATTTAATTTTACAGTAATAATTAAAATTTGAAGTTAGAGTTTAATTTAAACAAAAGATATTATTGAATACAAATGGAATAACCGAAGTGGCAACTACACTACAAAGAGAAAATCCAAGGCATCGCCGGCAAACAGTGGAAGACAAATTAATCTATGATGATAAAATCCACATTATTGTTCTCAAATTGACCGCAAATATGTTTTATGAGTCGCTGAATAATAACAATCGACTTAAACATATTGTTAGTTTCTCTATTAAGCATTTGGACTATATCGGCCGGACGGAAACTGGTTCCGGATTGAGAGGATTACGTGGACCATGCATCAGACCTATTGAGACATACCGGCACCGGTGCCGCTTTTTAAGTTCTTGAACCGGTTGGACCGGTACCACATTTTTTGCGTATGCTACAAATTGTTGAAACAGTAGCAAGAGTTATTTTTTTTATGCTAAAATTATTTTTTTTTAAAGAAATATAGCATTACAAAGCTTAAAACAAATACGTAGGATTTTAATGTAGCATAAACATTAATGAAATAGGATTAATCATAATGCAGAAAATGAGAAAACATAAAAGCTAGAAAAACTTTCAGCTTCGATATCCGATTATGATTGACTGTAACTTATTGAATATGAAACCAAAAATGATGAATTAAAACACAAACTCTGAACTACATTATGGAAAAGATCTCATGTAATTCCGAATTCAAACAAATGAGTAATGCAATGTAACGTCTCATTTTTACAACAAAAAATTTTCATTTTTATTAAGGTAAAACCTCACAACTATAAATCCATTTTAAGAAAACTATTTATTCCAAATTACATTTGTCAAAAATCAGAGTAATATAATAAACGCAGAATCCTCAATGCTGCTAATGAGTGTGTACAATCACGCATTCACCTTCCCACGATCACCGATAAAACCTAAAACCATAAACAACTGGTAAGCACAAAGCTTAGTGAGTTCCCCCCAAATACTGCACACAACAAAACATATACAAGCATGCATATTGGGTCCACAATCATCGGACTGGATTACCCCGGGTATGTTGGATTGCCGCCTCAACCCAACCGCACTTCTCGAGCCTCAGTACCTACAACTTACAGCTAGCCCGCACCTGATCTCTTGGCCTACAACACACATCAGGACCACCACAATATGTCGACGTATAAACAAACAATAGATCAAGTAGTCACATAAATACATGCAACTACCAATCATACAACTCACTACCGCCTACTAGACCCTTCACAACACACTTCTCCGCTACCGACAACTCTCCATGGAATGCACAACCATAAGGAACCAGAGGTGAGATAGCATCCCTAACACATGATCCTAGCCTAAAGCCACAACCAAATGAGCGACATGCAAGAAATCCTAGATCAAGAGTTCTTAGGCTATCCTACGTGGCTACATACATCCCCTAGGGCATTCCACTAGACGATAACCATCCTACCGGTACTCTAACCAGCATACCACTAGTGCTGCATCCTAACACACAAGGATATATATATATATATATATATATATATATATTATTATATATATATATATATATATATAACAACTCACTACAACACAACAACATCCTATACACAAGGACACACAACCAAATCTCCAAGGAATGCATAACCATATCTATCCATAGGTGAGATAGATACCCAGGCAGATGATCCTACTCTAGAGCCACAACCAAACAAGGAACATGCAAGAAAGCCTAGATCAAGAGTCCTCAGTCTATCCTATGTGGCTACATACTGCCCCTAGGGCATCCCCTTACAAAATGATAACCAAAACTAGTTGGTCAGAATTGGTGTCTTTGACCCATGTAACACCCGAAAATTTGAGGAGCAATTTTGGGAATGAATCACCTTTTGAGGATTTGACACGGCGTGTTGCAGGCACCAACACGGTGTGTCCAAATATGAGGAAATGCAGATTTCATTAAGGACAACACGATGTGTTGCCTCTTGGAACATGGCGTGTTGATGGCTGAAATGAAACCCTAATCTTCCGGGTTTTGCTCCGTATTTAAAGGAATGTGGAGGCTAGGGTTTGTTCACCCTCAGACCTCATCAGCCCCTCAGGCCCTAAAAAGAAACCCTAATCATCTTTCCCCTCCCATTTTGAGCTAGTTTGGTGTTTTTGAAGTTAAAGAAGGAAGAAGGTGGAAGAAGAGTAACATCCATAAAATTCAACTAAATTTAAAACTTTTTCAAGCATCCAAAAACCATTAGTTATTACAAAATGTTTTCAAAATAGTTTCATATCAGAGTATCCCAGAAATCAAAATCATAAAATGTGAGGAGGTGCACGATCAAGCCTTCCCCTTCCCACAATCATCCGAAGTACCTGAAACAAAATCAACAACTGTAAGACCGAAGCTTAGTGAGTTTCCCCAAAATACCAACGCCATACAAACCAGAACAATGTCATAACAAACAACATGCATATAGAGTCTTCAACATGACTGGACCGCCCTCACCGAGACTTCAGTCTATCTGGCCCACTCTCAGAGTCTTTAGTATGACTGGACCGCCCTCACCGGGGGCCTTCAGTCTATCTGGCCCACTCTCAGAACCTTCAGCATGTATGGTCCGCCCTATCGGGCCTTCAGCCTGTCTGGACCGTCCTCATGGCCTTCGGCCTGACTGGTACGCCCTGATGGGCCTTCAGTCTATCCAGGCCGCCCTGGGTATGTTGGCCTAGAGCACAAAGCAGGACCGCCTCAACCCACCCCCAATTATACAATAAACACATAAATATCATACGCTAGCTAGCATGTACAGATAATCATACAGATCTAACAGATCACTAATCATAGCATCATCCTATACACCAGGACACCGATCTAACAGATCACTAAACATAGCATCATCCTATAACCAGGATATAATCTAAAAAGGGCCGGCCTTGGTGTCTTAGACCCTGTTGATATAGTGAGAAGAAATCACCTCACAATGTTGATCTGAACTGAAAAGATCAAGCTCTCGAATCACGGCTCCAAACTCAAACACCTACAACCACCATAGGACCAATTCCATCAAGACCCAAATTACCAAAATACCCTCACAGTCAACAATCAAGGTCAACAGTCCATGTTGACCCAACTCGTCGAGTGCAGCTAGTAACTCGTCGAGTTCCTTCAGAACTCAGAAAATCGGGAAAAAACCCTAACTAACTCGTCGAGTTATCTTATCAACTTGCCGAGTTTATTAAGAATCCAGAAAGCGGGAAAACCCGACTCAACTCGTCGAGTTGGCTATGCAACTCGTCGAGTTCCTTCAGCCTTTTCATATTCAGTCCTTTCCAGTCGAATCCAAAGCCCCAAACTACCGATCTGGTCCCCTAAGGTTGAGATACCACGTAACGTTGCTAACTTTACATCCATGTATGGCATCCAAGGGGTTAAAACACTCATATGAAACTTAATAAGGGGTTTAGGGCATGGAGGAAGGCTAAAGCTTGATAAATCTTGAATCTTTAGGCCCAAGGAGGCCTAAAGGTGTCCAGATATGAAGTCATAACTTCAAATCATGCTCAACTCCGAAATTGGTTCCAAAATGGGCTAAAAATGCACTAAACTTCAATGGGAGAAGATCTAAGAAACAAGAGGTCAAGGTACAGACTTTTTACCTCCAAATGGTTCTACCACATTGTAGATGTCGGATCTACAGCCTCCTCCTTCGGGTATGCACTAATCTTTCCAAGCTTCTTCAAGAAATGCACCAAATAACACTCTTTAAGCTCACAAACACTCAAGAAAGTAATAATGTAACATCCCGTTTGTTAAATAATTAAATAGATAAATTTAAGGAACGAATAGTAGCCCTAAATCCATTATATTCAGTGGAGTGTTGGTTTTGGGGATTAAAATGTAATCTCGGGACCTAATTTTTGTAGAGATTTTAGGAGTGGGGGGCTACTTGGTAGATTATTGGGACTTAAATTGAGTAGATTTTGGGAAGCAAGGGCTAAATGGTAAATTCCAGATTTAAATTGTAAAGATTTCTGAGGACAGGAGCTATTTGGTTAGTTTTGGACTTAAAGTGTAATGAATTTATGGAATCGGGGGTAAAAGGGGAAATGTTGGATTAAAGTTGAAGAGTTTATGAGAAGGAGGGACTAGAAGTGTAAAACTCGCAAGGAGTTTGTATGAGCATGGGATTAAACAGGAACCGTTCCCTCCCATCGCACCTTCTAACCCTAAATCTTGAGGAGTCAGCCGCCACCACCGTTCTTGGGAGCTTTCTCAGTGCCACTCGCAAGCAGAGTCCGACCGCCGCCGCTGCAGTGCCGATAAGGATCGCCGCCACGATGTTTTCTGCCATCGCTGTGCAAGTCGTGAGCCGCCGAGAATGCACGGTAATTCACCCTCAACCTACCCTTCCTCTTTCTCTCTCGTTTTCTTGTGGGTGCGACGTCGGAATCATCACCGCCAACGTCGGTGGCCATGAGGGAGGCTGCTGTTGCGTTTTTCCGGTGACGTCCGCCGCCTATAGGGTGGCTGGTTGGACGTATGTTAGAGTGTAGTTGTTGCTTTTGCCGTTTGGGGTGTGGGATGTGTGTTTTGTGGCCGAAAACCCACTGCCACCACCATGAGGTGGTGGCTGCCG